CCGGCTCGGTGATATGCATGATGCCGTCCTCGCCGTCGTCCGCGGCGTGTCCGCCGAATCCCACGGCGTCGTTGTTGGCCTCGAGCCACATCCTGCCGTTGCGGGGATTCAGGCCCACGCCCATCACGCTGCAGACGTCCCCGCCTGAGCAGGCGGGAACGTCGTTGGGCAGGCCCTGGGCCAGCGCCTTCGTGACCACCTCCGGGGCCAGCAGGCCGGTCCACAGCGTGAAGGTCGCCGCCGGCGGCACGGCGTTCATCAGGGAGCCCTCTGGCGCCTCGACTCTCAGGGGGCGGAAGTGGCCCTCGTTGGCCGGGACGTCCGGCGTGGTGAGCGCCTTGAAGGCCAGGCCGGCGATGCCGACGGTCAGCCCCATGGGGTTGTTGATGGGTCCCTGGGTGGCCGGAGACGATCCGGCGAAGTCTACGACCATCTCGTCCTCGGTGATGGTGACGGTCGCCTTGATCTTGACCATGGCTTCCTTATCTATGCCGTCGTCGTCGACGAAGTCCTCGGCCGTCCAGGTGCCCTTGGGCAGCGCCGCCAGCCTGCTACGCGAGATGCGCTCGCCGTGGTCCAGGGTCTGCTCGACCGCCTCCTCGAAGGTCTCTATCCCGAACCTCTCCACCAGCTCCTGTACCCGGCGCTCGCCGGTCTTGCAGGACGAGATCTGGGCGTTCATGTCTCCGATGACCCGGTCGGGCATGCGGCAGTTGAACCTGATCAGGTTCTCCAAGTCCTTGTTGAGGACGCCCCTGTTGTAGATCTTCGAGCAGGGGAAGAAGAGCCCCTCCTCGTGCATGTCCCGGGTGTCGAGGCAGTAGCCGATGTCCTTCTGCTTGAGGTCGAGCCAGTGCTGGCGCGCCGCCGTGAAGCCAACCAGGCTCTCCCCGGCGAAGATCGGCGTGCAGGCGAGCACGTCCAGGGTGTGCCCGGCGCTCCAGTAGGGGTAGTTGAGCAGGATGACGTCGCCCGGGTGGATGTTCTCCTCCCCCAGGAAGTCGACGATCTTCCCGACGGCGTAGCCGTTCACCCGCGTAAAGGTGGCCAGTCCGGGCGCCTCCGCCAGCATGCGGCAGCGCCGGTCGTAGATGCCCAGGCCGAAGTCCCGGATCTCGTACACGATGGTGTTGTACGAGGTCCTCATCAGGTTGCGCATCATCTCCTGGGCGGCGGAGATCAGGTAGTTGTTTATCACCTCGACCGTGATGGGGTCCACCCTGCTCATTGGCGTCCTCCGTCCGCTCCTACGTCGATGACCAGCTCCCCATAGCCGCCCACTGTCAGCACGTCTCCCGTATGCACCACCGTCGTGGAGCTATGCTCCTCGACTATCGCCGGCCCGGCTATCCGGTCCCCTCCCAGCATCTTCCGCCGGTCGTAGACCGCGTACTCGGTCCACTCCCCCAGGCCGGAATCGTAGACCGGGCGGCTTCCCTTCGTCGACTCCGGGACGCTCCCCTTCCCCGCCGCGATCCTGGGCAGCTCGGGGCGCGGCAGCAGCCCCACAGCCCGGAGCCGGAGCGTCACGATCTCGACGGGGTCGTCCATGCGGTGACCGTACTGTGTCTCGTGGGCCCGGTTGAAGTCGGCGGCCACCCGCGCGACGTCGCCGTCCGACAGCCGCAGCCCCGGCAGGGGCAGGTTGACGGTGTGCTCCTGCCCCAGGTACCGCATCTCCACCGAGCAGAAGAAGGCGCGGTCGCCCTCCTCGAACCCGTCCCCGGAGAGCGCCTCGCGCCCGCGGCGGGCCAACCGGGAGTAGACCTCGTTGATGACCGATAGGTCCGCCGTCTCCAGTTCCGTGACGTACGTCTGGGCGAAGTCGTGGACGACGTCGACCATGAGCATGCCCAGCGCCGAGAAGTTGGCCGGGCCCGGCGGCACCACGACACGGGGAATCCCCACCTCGCGGGCGACGCCGGAGGCCACGAGGCCGCCAGCGCCGCCGAAGGCCAGGGCAGAGAAGTCCCGGGGGTCGAACCCCCTCTCGATGGAGATCTCCCGGATGGCGCCGACGATCTTGGCCTCGTTGATTCGCAGAACGCCCGAGGCGGCCGCCTCCAGGGACATGCCGAGCCTCTCGGCGAGCCTCTTCCGGATGGCGGAGGCCGCCAACGGCCGGTCCAGCTTCAGCTCGCCGCCCAGGAAGTTCTCCGCGTCCAGGAGGCCCACCGCCAGCGCGGCGTCGGTAAAGGTCGGCTCCTCGCCTCCCTTGCCGTAGCAGACCGGGCCGGGCAGCGCGCCCGCGCTCTGAGGCCCCACCTGCAGGTGGCCGCCCTCGTCTATCCAGCCTATGCTTCCGCCGCCCGCCCCGATGGTGGCCATCTCGATGGTCGGGACGAAGATCGCGGCTCCCTCGAAGTACATCTCGTTTCCGACCCTGGGCTGCCCAGCGCATATGACCGACGCGTCCAGGCTCGTCCCGCCCACGTCCAGGGTGATGAGGTTGCGATGTCCGATGAGCTCGCTCAGATAGGCCGCCCCGATCACCCCGCCGGCGGGGCCCGACAGCACCGACTGGACCGGGCTCTCCTTGGCGTAGGCCGCGGTCATCGCGCCGCCGCCCGAGCGGGTGAGCAGGAAGTGCCCCCCGAACCCGCCGCTGCGCAGGCGCAGCTCCAGCTCCTCCAGATAGCCCCTCATCACGGGCTTGATGTAGGCGTCCGTCACCGTGGTGCTGGTGCGCTCGTACTCCCGGTACTCGCGGCTCAGGGTGTGAGACAGGGTGACCGCCGCCTCAGGGCACTCCCTGGCTAGGACCTCCGCCATGGCCTGCTCGTGGTCGGAGTTGGCATAGCTGTGGAGGAAGCAGACGGCGACCGCCTCGACGCCCTGGTCGCGAATCCTGCTCGCCACCGAGGCCGCCTGCTGGCGGTTGAAGGGGGTGAGCGCCTCGCCCAGGAAGTCCATCCGCTCCTCGACCTCGAAGACCAGGTACCGGGGGACCAGGGGCTTGGGCTTCCGGTACTTCAGGTCGTACATGGGGAGCCGGTCGGTCCTGCCCAGCTCGTACACGTCGCGGAACCCCTTGGTGGTGACTATGGCCACGCGGGCTCCCGTGCGGGTCAGCAGCGCATTGGCGCCCAGGGTGGTCCCGTGTACGAAGTAGTCGATGGCCGCGAGATCGGCCCCCGCCTTACGGAAACCGGCCAAGACCCCGCTGGCGGGGTTTCGCGGAGTCGTCTCGACCTTCTCCAGCCTCAGCCGGCTCGTCTCCTCGTCCAGGACGATGACGTCCGTGAGGTCCCCCCCGACGTCAACGGAGATACGCATTTTCCGTATATGTCCTCATGGACGATGCTCCGCGAGTGTACGACTGTAGCGTGTCCCGTGAGGGCAGCTCTTACGGGCGGCGAGACAAGGCGACTTTAGCCCCGCCCACACTGTGTGTCAACCGGCGTCGAGGGGCTGCTTGACACTTCAGGATGCGTTGAATACGCTGGGCTCACCCTGTGAGCCCATAGCTCAGTCGTGGAGTGTCGATTGTTGCCTAGGAGACGGATTCTCCCTCTCAGCTTGATGCGGGTCCTGGCGATGGCGGTCTAGCCTGCGGCGGCAGTGGCGATGCGGACCCCTTCCGTATCGGCGTGATGGAGTCGCTGACGGGCCCCGGCGAGACCTACGGCACGGTGGCCAGCCAGGCCAAGCAGATGGCCGCGGACGAGATCAACGCCGCGGGCGGCATCGATGGGCGCATGCTGGAGCTCATCGTCGAGGACTCCCAGTGCAGCGCCAAGGACGCCATCGCCGCCTACAACAAGCTGACCGACGTGGACGGGGTGAAGATCATCCTGGGACGCTCTGCAGCAGCGCCATGCTGGGCGCCGCTCCGCTGGCGGAGGCGGACGGCGTGATCCTCTTCTCCGGACTGGCCAGCAGTCCGGACATCGCCAACGCCGGGCGACTACATCTTCCGCACCCAGATCAGCGACATACAGGTGGGCATCGACACCGGGAACGTCCTGTGGGCGGACGGGGTCCGCAAGCTGGCCACCATCACCGAGACCACCGACTACGCGGAGGGCGTGAGGCGCACCTCCGTCGCCCAGTTCCAGAAACGCGGCGGGAGGGTCGTGGCCGAGAGCGGTATCCGTCCGACGCCATCGACTTCAGGTCCCAGCTGGGGAAGCTTTCGAGGCGGACCCGGACGCGCTCCACCTGGCGCCCCAGTCCGAGTTCGCGGCGGGCCATCATCAAGCAGGCGCGGGAGGTCGGCTACCAAGGGCCATCTACGCGGAGACGGTTCGGTGGGCACCACCGCCCTCGAAGTCGCGGGCGACGCGGCGACGGGCATGAAGGCCATCACGGCCGACCTGGACCCCGACAACGAGAAGGCGCAGGAGGTCCTGGCCAACTTCAGGGAGCGCTACAACTACGTCACGCTGCCGTGGCACCTGGGGTCCGCCTACGACGACGTCTACATCGCCGCCGAGTGCCTCAAGCAGACCGGCGACGACCAGGACGCCGACGGCTTCCGCGACTGCATGTACGGCATCACCTGGAGCGGCGCCATCGGAGACGACTACAGCTTCGACTCCGACGGCGAGGTCGTGGGTCTCTCCAGGGTGGTCGTGGAGGTGCTGCCGACGGCCCAGCGGACCGCCGACAGGAAGTACAAGGTCCTCGGCCCGGCCCCCAGGCAGTAACGCCAGGCCCGATCAGGGGATCCCAGCGCCCATCAGGCGTATCGTTCGATGGCGGCTTGGAAGCCCGGCAGGGCGCCCGCGAGGGTCTTGTCCTCGACGCAGTAGGAGATGCGGAAGTGCCCGGGCACTCCGAACCCGCCGCCGGGAACGACCAGCACCCCGTACTCCATCAGCTCGTCGACGAACCTGGCGTCGTCGTCGATGGGCGACCTGGGGAACATGTAGAAGGCCCCCTGCGGCTTCACCACATCGTAGCGCATGTCCCGAAGCTGTCCATACAAGAAATCTCGCTTGGCCTGGTACTCCCCCACGTCTACCGTCTCCGACTGGAGCCTGGCCACGATCCTCTGCATGAGGGCTGGCGCGTTGACGAACCCCAGCGTCCGGTTGCAGAAGATGAGTCCATCCATCAGCTCCCCCTTGTCGCCGTAGTCGGGATGGACGGCGATGTAGCCGATGCGCTCTCCGGGCAGAGCCAGGTCCTTGGAGTGGGAGGTGGCCACGATGCTTCTCCGGTGGTGGTGGAAGACGTGGGGGTACTCGAGGCCGTCGAAGAGCACCCTCCGATAGGGCTCGTCGCTCAGCAGGAAGATCTCCGTGCCCAGCTGCCTCTCCTTGGTCTGGATGATCTCCCCGAGGCGCGCCAGCAGCCCGGCATCGTACACGACGCCTGTGGGATTGTTGGGTGAGTTGATCAGGACGACCTTGGTGCTGCCGTTGATGCTCGCCTCGAAGGCGTCGAGGTCGGGCAGGAACAGTCGTCCGGCGGGACGACGCGGCAGGAGCCGCCGTGATTGTCGGCGTAGAAGAGGTACTCGACGAAGTAGGGCGCGAAGACCACGACCTCGTCCCCCGGGTCCAGCAGCGTCTTCAGCACCACGTTCAGGGCCCCGCCGGCGCCGACGGTCATCACGACCTCGTCGTGAGTGAAGGCCAGGCCCGTCTCCTCGGCCAGCTGCGCGGCCACGGCGGCCCGCGTCTCCACGTATCCCGCGTTGGGCATGTAGCGGTGCATCCCGGGCTCTGGGCTGTCGGCGAGCCGCCTCAGCTCCGCGAAGAAGGCGGCCGGGGGCTCCACGACCGGGTTGCCCAGGGACAGGTCGAAGACGTTCTCTCCGCCGCGCTCCAGCCTGAGGGCGGCCCCCTGCTCGAACATGCGCCGGATCATGGAGCCCTGCTCCATGCTCTCTTTGATCTTCCTGGAGACGGCCATGGCGTCAGCTCCGCACGTGAGGCTCTTGGGGTCAGCTAGATAGAGGCGACTTTAGCCTCACCCCCATTGCGTGTCAACCGGCGCGGCAGGGCCGCCTTGACACCCAGAATGGGGTTGATTACGCTAGGCTCACCCCCCGTGGGCTCGTAGCTCAGTGGTAGAGCGGTCGGCTCATAACCGATTGGTCGCAGGTTCGAACCCTGCCGAGCCCACCAAGCCCAGACTGGGCTCGCCGTGAAAGCCATCAAACTTCTTGCCTCATGATCCTGGAACATCATCGGGCCAGACGTTGGCTCAACCGAGTGGACTCTGTAAGTGGATACACCCTGTGGCGTTCGTAATTGTGGCAACGCAATGCGATCGATATTTATTGCCTGAAGAAATCTGATGACACGACTATTTGAAGCTAAGCGTAGAAACGACACCAGGCCTGGCCGTCGAGCTGAAACCACGTATTCATTTCTTGATCGATCCTCGAAGCCTGAGTTCAAAAGAGTCCGAGACATGCTCGAACGATGGCTGGAGCGGCTCGCCGAAAAACAACAGCGCGACGCTATCGCCAAAATGCGCAGCAACTCTCCAGGGACCCACAGGATGAATTCAATTCAACGCGACCTTCTTCGAGTTGTTTCTGCACGAATTCTTGCTCGGCACACGTGGAGCGGTCGTGGCGGAGCCCATGATCGATGGGTTGACCCCGGATTTCAAAGTGACTGAAGAACTAGCAGGCTGCGGAAAAACGATTCTGTGAGATAGGATACGACCACACCGTAATGGAGGTGGTCGTCCCATGAGAGGAAGACACGACCCACAGGCAACGATGCTGGCATTCGTGGATCTGGAGGAGCGAGTCCCACAGGACCATCCCATCCGCACCATCAAGATCATTGCCGACGAGGCCTTGGAGCGTCTGTCGCCGGAGTTTGATCAGATGTACTCAAAGGTGGGCCGAGCGTCCGTCCCGCCGGAGCGACTGCTGAAGGCATCGTTGCTCATCTCCCTCTACTCGGTGCGCAGTGAGCGAGCGTTCTGCGAGGAGTTGGAATACAACCTTCTGTTCCGCTGGTTCCTTGACATGAACCTGATGGAGCGCAGCTTCGACCCTACGGTGTTCACGAAGAACCGGCGGCGGCTATTGGAGCACAGGATAGGCCAGGCACTGTTCGACCAGGTGGTAGTGGAGGCAGACCGTCAGAAGTTGCTGTCGGACGAGCATTTCAGTGTGGACGGGACGCTGATAGAGGCTGCGGCGAGCATCAAGAGCTTCAGACGGCGAGATGAGGAACAGCAGCCGCCCGATGATGACCCCGGCAACCCGTCGGTGGACTTTCGTGGAGAGCGCAGGAGCAACGAGACGCATCAGAGCAGTACGGACCCTGAGGCACGGCTGATGCGCAAGGGCAAGGGGAAGGAGGCCAAGCTGGTGTTCATGGGACACGCACTGATGGAGAACGGCAACGGGCCTGCTGACTGGACTTCGTAGTGAGTAGTGCGACGGGCACGGCGGAGCGCGACGCTGTACCTGTCATGCTGGACGATGCGCGGCAGCGGGGCTTCCGTCCCAGACGCTGGCAGGTGACAAGGGTTACGACACGCGCCAGTGCGTGAAGGATATGCGTGATCGGGGAGTGACGCCGCACGTGGCTCAGCGAGCTCACTCGGCGATAGACGGCAGAACGACGCGGCATCCGGGCTATGGGGTGAGCCAGAAGATTCGCAAGCAGATCGAGGAGATATTCGGGTGGATGAAGACGGTGGGAGGGTTCCGCCGAACCCGGTATCGGGGTGTGGAGCGTACTGGGCTGGCCGGTTACTTCGTAGCTACCGCTTACAACTTGGTGCGGATGGCGAACCTGTTGTCGTGTCAGAGGACTCGGGACGTTCAGGTCGTGTGACCTGCCGGGGGCGCAGTGTGCCCAAGTGGGCTGACGGGGCTTACGAGCCTCCCAAATCCCCCTCGGAATCGTCCGCCGGAGCACCAAATCTCACTTCGGTCTCACCAAAACGTGGCTACTGCTTACTCGATCAGCTAAGTCCAACCAGCAAAACCCTTTCTTCAGCAGCCTGCTGCTACGAATGCGTCTCGGTGCCTCACGATACCGGCTTAGGGCAAGATTATTCCTGTAAACAAGCATTTAGGGTTGGTTCTGCGGCGGGGCGGTTAGGCGTGGGGATTGGTTTTGTTCCGGTCGGGGCTTGTGTTGTGGCCGATGAGGTAGTTTGGTGCGCACATACCCGTCCGGGTTAGGCATAGCGGGATCGCAACGGCTCTGTAGGCTTCATGCAGCGGAGGGAGCGGGTGGCCAGGGAGACGGTGGACACAACTCTCGTCCAAACGTGCCCGGACCATTCGATTGACGTTACACGCCAGGGCCTTGAGGTAGACTGCGAGCCGGACCCTCTCTCCTCCAAGTACCAGTAGGCGGCCAAGGCCCACAAGACCAGGCGCCGTTCACCTCCGAGTTCGTAACATCTATCCCCGCCGAACCAGACCGTCTACGCATTGTCCATCCGACTCGGCCCTCCGCCTACGTCCGATGTTCACACTGGCGGGTCAGCACTCAGCACGTTAGGCTCCCACTCGGCGCAAACTCTCCCCCGAGTCAGGGCGAAGGACCGACCACCTACGGGGACCAGTGGGCGCGCCAGCAGGGTTCACACACCTCCGGGCGAAGTGATCTCCCATCGTCCGGAGCCTCTTCATCCTGTACTCGGACACGGAACTCATGGCCCGCGGAGAACACCGCAGCTCTCCTTGCCGTAACGTCGATGCAAAGTAGAGCCGTCAGCCTGACCAGACCTCATCTCATTCGGCCTCCCCTGAGCGCCAGGCCCCCGACAGGGCTCCCAAACCGTCCCCCTTCGCTCTGCCTTACCATCGTTGTGTAGGAACGATACGTGTGTCGACACCACCAACCACAGCCCTCGAAAGGACGATACAACGCTCCTCCAAACGTGTTCTATCATCCAACTGTCACACCCGCCGTCGCTGCCGCTCGACGGCGTACACCTCCACGTGGGTGATAACCTGCATGCGTGCCCCTCTTCGCACGTCTCGCCACCTGTACCTTCGACCCTTCCTGTGTCGATGTAGGGTACTCAGGGCGTGCGGCGTCTGCATCGAGTACGATCGCACCTCATCGGCTCATTTAGCGCGAGTCGGAACTTCCTCTCCGCATGTCCTATCGGCTCCGGGACGACCGTCCCCTGTGCCGGCCCACGGGGCACTGCTCCCCCAATAGCCTCTCCAACCGCCCGATCCTCTATCTGCGCCAACCCGCCGTCCCAAGGACATATCCACCAGCCGGTACACGTCTCGCGCACAAACGACAGCCGGGCGACGACCCTCACCGGAACGTGCGTCCTCGTACCTCGAGATTAACCGCTCTCCTTGAGGTACCGCTGGGCCAGACATCCCAATCCCTCACCCAGACCAGGGTGCTCACTGGCTCACCGCTAACAGGAACAACACCCGACCGTCTCGCAGAACAGACCAACGCGGTCAGTCAGCACCGCGACTAATGCTCATGACGTGCGTCGAGTCCAGCGCTGCTTCGCCGTCCGCTACTCCCAGCGGCCTCTATCATCCGAGTCCGTCGTCTCACTAAACGCCAAACCGCACAGGAAGTTGTGCAGCGTTTCTGGGCAAGGTTGCGCCTCCTCCATCTCCAGCCGCAGCGCGTGGGTGCCACAGGCAGATTGAACCCAATCCTCAAACGCCTCCATGGACCGTCGATCCGAACATCTCCGTGAGCCACCAGACTCCCAGCACCTGGCACCGCACGGTTCGGCCTGCCAAGTCCGGACGGTACATCGGAGCGAACGTCATCCTCTATGAGCACCAGAGCCTCGTCCGAACCCTCCGCCCAGCTCCTCCCATCAGCTTCGCCTTCCTCGGCGTGATCAGAAACTCCGACTGCCACAAGGCTCTCCTGCGTTCCGTGCTTGAAACATCGACTCACCTA